AAAAAAAGAAAAGGCGTAGCATAGTTTTCGCCACAGGCTTTCCCGCGTATGAATTAGTGAGCGGCCAAGGAGTTAAATGAATGAATGAACAAGTGGTATAAACAGTTCTTCCTCCTCTAACCCCCCTATCCTCCAACCCAACCCCCCCCCCCTTCATCACACACTATCCTCCTCCCCCCCCCTTTCCTAGACGCTGGAGTGGGTGTGTGTAAGTAATTGATGTGGTGATTATGTCAGCGCTGATTTATAGTCCGTGCGAGTCGTGAGATGTGGCAGTTTTGTTGGCAACGATGCACTATTGACTGCGCCTTATGTTTGCTTGTGTGTGAATGCTTGGAGATAGTCAAGAAGAGAGAGAGAGAGAGAGGAATGGAAGGAGGGAGGGAGAGAGGAAGAGAGGAGGGGACGGGGGAGGGGGAGTGGGAGAGGGAGAGAAAGAGGGGGAGAGAATGGAAGAGATATAGACAGTTTGATAGATAAATGTAGAGAGAGAGAGAGAGAGAGAGAGAGAGAGAGAGAGAGAGAGAGAGAGAGAGAGAGAGAGAGAGAGAGAGAGAGAGAGAGAGAGAGAGAGGGAAGGAGGGAGGGAGGGAAAAAGAATGGAAGAGATATATAGACAGAAAGATAGATATAGATAAATCGAGAGAGAGAGAGAGAGAGAGAGAGAGAGAGAGAGAGAGAGAGAGGAGAGAGAGAGAGAGAGAGACTGACTTCGGAAGACTTAGAAAGACATTTGAAAACCGACATAACAGCACAGACAGTATATATACGCGATGCACCATATCACACCGAGAACTGAAACTGCCAAAGACAACCGTGAATCAGAATCACAGTCCAAACAACTCATCCGAAACCATTAATAACGAAACAAGAGCTGTAGACAAGCCAAGTGGAGAGCCGACGTCCGCGCCGGGGTCTGCCTTGGCCCGGGGCGGCAGAGGACCTACCTGCCAGCCATTCCCCCGGCGTTTATTGACAATTTATTTAACGTTTAACTCTTCAGATTGAATCTATTAGGAGTGAATGTTTGCTAGTTCAGGCGTCTAAAGAGTCTTCAGCTTTAGCACCTTGTTTTGTGTTTAGGATTTTTCGTGTTGTAGTCTTGGTTCACACAGGAAAATGAATTTATCCAGAGCCTCATGAATCTGCCAAAGTACCTCGTTCGTCGAAAATGATCATTGCTGTCAGTTAACAAGGCGATAAAAAATCACTAAAGATAAAAAGGAAAAAATTCCCAGAGAATATAGGGTTAAAATATGATCCTGTTTGCTTCCCGGGCCTTCCTCGGCTATGGAGAGGGTCCATCAAGGACAAAAATAGCTGCGAGAACTCCGCTAACGGGGCCAGATGGCTGCAATACATTATCAACTGGCGAAATACGTCATGAGAGGGAGCGAGATTATAGTTCCTTACCGCCGACTTTCTTATCATGCAAAGTCCTGAGCCTCTGTGTGCTACGCAATGTCCTGTAATGGTAGGGTTTAACGGCAGCGCACCCCGATCCCTGCCCTTGTCCAATACTTGTAAACACTGTTAATGAGACGAGTCCTAATACAACGCTCCCCTAACGAGACTCAGCGACCTTGAAGCAGTTCTAAGATGTAATAGTTTCTAGACAAGTAGTCGTGGCTATATATAGTGCACGGGAATGAGTGTAAATAGAGAGAGAAAGAGAGGGCCGGCCAGGGGATGAGGGGTGGGCGGAGGAGGAGTTAGCGGTGGCGGTGGTAGCATAAGGAAAGGGTTGAGCGACGGTTGACATCTTGTTCAACCTCATGTGTGGAGTGTCGTGTTGTCATTACAGTCACATGGGTCACCCTGGAGACGAGCGACTCCCAGGACCCCGTTTTCTGTTTCTCGCCGATGTTGCTTTGTTCGTCTTCGCCAGGCCATCGCGAGCTCTGCCTGTCACTTTCGCTTTCTTTTCCTTTCATCTTTCTCTTGCATTTCCTTTCTTCCTTTCTAATCCTCATTCTCTTCTTCACTCTTCTCCTTATTCTCTCTCTCCTTCTCCTTCTCTTCCCTCATGCTACGTGCGACTCTCCAGATGTTATCTCATACCCGCTAACCGAGCTGTCTTGTGTTGCTGTATTGCATTTATCATAATAATTAATGCGCGTTATTTGCCTTCATTAGCAAGCACGCTTACCCTGAAGAAGAGCGACACCCTCGTCAAGACCTCAGGTGGATACTCAAGTCGAGTCCAAACATAAACAGAGGGGAATGTTGATGGCAGAAAAAAACAAGAGTATATAGCCACTAAGCAACTTGCGCCGTCTTTTTCTTGCAACCTTGATCGCTGCCTGCCGAGTGTTTATTTGTTTTCCGTCTTCGAATGCACGTCGTTTCTCCGGCGATTAATCACGGTCAGTTGCGTCCATCCATCACAGGAATTCCAGATGCTTGACAGAGTTAAGTGGCAATTACGTCGGCAAACCATCGCAATCGATATCAATTTGACAACTGGCAATTAACCGCCAATTCACGGTCGGCGACATACTTGCATATCCTGTTTTGGTGAACGATAAAAAAGGAAAAAAAAGGGAAAAACATGAGGAAGTTCGCTGTTATGAGGAGAGTAGAATGTTTATGAACATCCGCGCTCTTTAATGACAGGAATTGAGGACGAAAGGCTAATCCTGCAAATACGAAAGGAAAACAGCTGTCAAGTGGCCGGGCGAGTCGCTTTGAAGGCCGGAAAGGAGGACTTGTTTCTAAAAGTAAATGGATGTAAGGATTCCGACTCAAGTGTGTGAATGTAGAGATGAAGATGTTAAAAAGATGCTAATGAGCGAGCGTTACATTTGGATATAGGCGTAGTGATACAAAGAAAGAAACGAATTAAATAATGGGTGAAAGTGTAAGTATATGCAAAGTAGGATAAACACAAGCAGACGAACGCACGCCCACGTGCACTCCTACTCCCACACATACGCGCGCACGCGTACGCACGCACATACACACACGCACACATGTATGAATGCGTGTATATACTTGTGTAAGTATATATGCATGTGTATATATTTATAGATATATTTATGTATATGTATATATATGAATATATATGTATATATATGTATGTACATGTATATACATATGAATATATGTATATATACATATGCATATATATGTATTTATGTATATAATATGTGCATATATATGTATATATTTTATATATGTATGTGTTATATATATGTATATATTTTATATATGTATGTATTATATATATATATTTATATAGTATGACGTAGTCCATATACATCTGTGTGTGCATACTTTTATGTTTACACAGACGCGTACACATACTTTCATCCATACATAAATCACATCCATATCTGTACACGTGTCTGTAGTTCGTATGCACACGCACACATACGTCGCACCTCCGGCCTGGCAAGTCACACCTTCCCATTCGCAATTGTAATCAAATAAATCAGATCTCGCTTAGTTTGCAGGGCATTATCCCGGCACTAAACAGGCCATTACGAACAGTTAACTACCCTAATTGTGCCGTTAGTGTCCCTCGCCAGATCCCGCCTCCATGAAGACGTCTCGGGCTTTCTTGCAAGCACACAAAAAAATAAAGAAAAGAGAGAGATAGAAAAAAAAGAAGGAGGACGATGCATAGAAAAAAAAAAAAAACTTGGCAACTATTTTACGTTAACCTCTTGACGTGCTCACAAGCTCGGCGTTTATTTGTTTTATTCCAGTAAAAATATTCTGTGACTGAAGTGTTGAGGACTATCAATTAAAGGTTTGAGGAGGACTTTATCTTCTATTTTTTTTTGTCTTTTGTTCATATCCATGCAATATCGGTTTCGTTGAGGCGAGAAAGCGGGAAAAAGAGTAGATTTTCATGACATTTCGAGTATAAAGAAGCAAACTTTGGCCTGACAGGAGCATCCGAGAGCGTCCATAAAACGGCCACCAGAGGCGTATCTCAAATGATCACAATTTTTCGTTCACCTCTTAATTTTCGTTCATTACTTCATGGTTAGTAGCCTTTGCATTTCGTTTCCTCTTTTTCTTATTCTCCTTTCCTTAATATCTTTTCCTCATAATGGCGCATATGATTTATTTTACCGCCTTTGTCTCCGTGTAGACATTAATTTCTTCCAGAATGAATACGTTAAAGAAAACGAGGGAAGTTGACAGTTGTAACTGTATTTTTCAAACTACGCCGTCAAATGCGCGGTTGACTTTTCCTAATGCATAAGGTCTTGCTTTTTTAAACTCTCCTCCCTCAACTATGTAAAACCCAGTTAAAATCACCCTCTGACCTTTACTGCATTTTACGAGGTAATGATCGCAGTATATTATATACGATTTAATTTACATCGCTTTGAATTCGCCGGAGTGTTGTGGTGGACAGTTGAGATTTATGAAATTTTTGTTATGTTATTTTTCGCGATAATTTATCAGCAAGTGTTAAGAATACGGAGCTTATTAATTCTTATCACTATTAATAATCTCTCTGCCTGTAACCAAAGCATCTGCTAAGAACAGCTGTCCCCGAAAGAAAGCGGAAATAGTAACCGAGATAAGTGATAAGTTTTGGAAAAAAAAATGTGCAGAAAATATGACACGCGGCCACAGGGTCTGGTAGGCACCGTTTTTCGTGTGGTTTGTGAATATCGCAAAAAATCTTTGTGGGGTGTTTTTTATGTGCTTTTATGTGTTCTCCTTCCTGCCTTATTGAAGCTTGTAATTCCATAGTTCTTAAGATGTGAGGAAATTGACAGTTATTTCCATTTAGCTTAAGAGGTACAGATTACATGTCTGCAGATGGTAATTTACCGTATTCTTTATTTCTTTTTTATTGTATTTATAAGCACTTTTTAAAAACTATTCATGTACCATTAATGAATATTCCTCACTTCTTGTTGGAGAAAGGCGTTGTTTTAAGTGATAATATATATGATTTTTAAGAGTAAACTGTGAATAGCATAAACTCCATGCCTTCCTCGTAAAGATGTGACCAACCCTTGGCTCTCTTACAGCGCATCGGCCGCCCTTCCCCGTCTCACATCCAGGTAAAGTCCCGAGTACAACCTCAACGTAAACTTTAACCTCCTCCACAAGCGTCTCATTGGTGCAATAACCTCTGGGTTTAATGATATATTGTGCTTTCCCTCACTTCTCATGTTCCATTACATATGGCTTCTGATCAACGGGGTTTGACGCTGTTTTTTTCTTCTCTTGTTCACTCACTAGTTCAGTCTGCGCACACACGCACGCACACATATACATGTATATCCTTCTATATTCAATTGGTGATGCAAGAGAGAGTTTAAGGCACTGCAGGTCCCACCAGACACTCTCACTGACACTCTTAACTATGAACTGGCCGGGGGAGGAGAGTCAGGCGGGATGGAGGGAGGGAGGGAGTGAAGGAAAGGACGGAGGGAGGGAGTGGACGGGCGAAGGAGGGAACATCCTTTCGCGACGCCTCCCTGCTGCAGCCCTGGCGTCTCTAGGATCGGGATGAGGAACGTGTCTCGCCAGCTTCTCGACCACTTGACGGCAGCGGGGTGTACCGAAAGTAGCTCTGTGGATACGACTGAAGCAAGCAGTGGATGCGCCTCGTGTTTACATTGCTGAATGTATTTTTAGATCCTGTGATATCCTTTTACCCCCTTTGTTTCTTTTAGTTTCCCTTCTTACTCCGTCTCTCCTTTTTTTCTGTCTGTCTCTCTCTCTCTCTCCTGTCCTTAGAGATCTCTTATGCACATGCTTTGCCTTTGCTGGTGCCTTGCCTGGGACTACGATGCTGTCTAACCGGCTCCTGCTCGTGTTTATGCTCTGAGTCCAGCAATGATCCTTGCTGATGAACAAAGTTAATTTGATGATATCAGCGTAACGTAAAATTTGATATCCTGATGCCGGGCTTTTAAAATTCTTTTTTATATAACTGAGATAGGTAGATAGATTGAAGTATATATGCAGCGTGTGGTTCTGTATATGTGTATAATATGTATGTGTGTGTGTGTATAAGTATGTGTATATATGTATATATATATATATATATATATATATATATATATATATATATATATATACGTATGTATGTATATGCATGTGTACATATATATCTATATGTATTATATATATATATATATATATATATATATATATATATATATATTTACATATGTATATGTATATGATATATATATATATATATATATATATATATATATATATATATGTATATATATTTACATATGTATATGTATATGATATATATATATATATATATATATATATATATATATATATATATATTTACATATGTATATGATATATATATATATATATATATATATATATATATATATATATATATATATATATTTGTATGTGTGTGTGGGGGTCTATGTATGTATGTGTATGTATGCATGTATTAATAATTATATGGATATATATATATTTATACATATATGAATGTATTTATACATGTATGTATGTATGCATGTATATACACACACATATCTGTGTGTATGTGTGTATATATGCATAAATACATTTATATATATTTATATATATATATATATATATGTGTGTGTGTGTGTGTGTGTGTGTGTGTGTGTGTGTGTGTGAGTGTGTTTGTGTGTTTGTGTGTGCATGTGTGTATATGTCTGTATATGTATGGTTTTATGTGGACACACGCACATATGTGTGTGTGTGTGTGTGTGAATCCAGTTAATCCATTTATTTCTTTGTTTGCCACATTTATCCATAGACAGAACAAGCGAATATACGTATGTGCGTTGGATAGCATACACGTTCACAAGATGGTCTTTGATAAATTCTTAATAGTTAATAGTGATAAGTGTAAGATATTCACATAAGCGCCCATTCATATCAGCAGCTTTGAATAATCAACCGCGAACACAAATGTCGTTATTTTATGCATGCAAGAAACATATATTTAGTAATAATTTGCGATAATTCTATAATCCTATTTCCCGTTAAAATGGAAAGTAAAATATGTATCCCACTGGTACAAAAGAAGAACAATCACAGCCCCGGATTATCGAGCGGGCAGACGGCAAGAATAAGCCCAAATTTGGAGATATTCACCGAGAACTTGGAAAGGTCGCGCCAAAATCTGTTTCCGCGAGCCTGAGTTACGACTCGGGACCAACTGTTCTTCTGACCGTCGGCTGCATCTCAGCGCGCGTCAGCCTGCTCGCATCGCTTCGCTTTTCTTAGCTTTGCGGTTTATTCACTCGTAGCGTCGCCTTTTTCCCGCGATCCGGACTTGTGTGTTCGCGTGTAAAAAGTATCGACGTTTGATAGCTGTCATTCAGAACCGGTTTTCCATTCATGCAGTCGAAGCGGAAGCCGGAGTCACGGAGCCCCGGAGCAGGAAAAGGAACATAAAAGCGATAAGTTCAGTGTTGCCAGTCGGTGTCGCAAGGCTGTCTGAGGAACAGCGCTCGCACACAAAGAGATGCGCCTCATTACGGTGCTTTTCCTGTTTTAGCGGTGCATATCCTGTGTAAATTGGCGTGGATATGTGTTATTTTTTCATCATTACACCAATTGAAGAGGGTGGAGTCTTTCGCCACGTACGATTAATCAATGAAAAAAGAAAGGGAAAATGAAGGCCGATGAGCGATTTCCCGACGGTCATCGATACGTAATGACATTTTTTTTCTCTAGCTCGGTGGACACATAATGAAAATTAAGACTAATAAGTCTAAAGACTAAGTATTTTCGCCTTTATTATACTAATCAGGGAGGGCAAGTCGTGCAGAAGTTTTGTTTAAAATTTAGCGGGTCTGAAAGGTCTGACATGTGCGAACTCCTGCCACTTTACCGCGTTAACTCGGCGTCTGCTTGATTGAAAGTTGGCGAACAAGAAACGTAAATTATCGCCAAACATTTTCTCTTTCTTTTAACAAAACGTTGCGGATACATACATACATACATACATACATACATACATACATACATACATACATACATACATACATACATACATACATACATACATACATACATACATACATACATACATACATACATACATACATACATACATACATACATACATACATACATACATACATACATACATACATACATACATACATACATACATACATACATACATACATACATACATACATACATACATACATACATACATACATACATACATACATACATACATACATACATACATACATACATACATACATACATACATACATACATACATACATACATACATACATACATACATACATACATACATACATACATACATACATACATACATACATACATACATACATACATACATACATACATACATACATACATACATACATACATACATACATACATACATACATACATACATACATACATACATACATACATACATACATACATACATACATACATACATACATACATACATACATACATACATACATACATACATACATACATACATACATACATACATACATACATACATACATACATACATACATACATACATACATACATACATACATACATACATACATACATACATACATACATACATACATACATACATACATACATACATACATACATACATACATACATACATACATACATACATACATACATACATACATACATACATACATACATACATACATACATACATACATACATACATACATACATACATACATACATACATACATACATACATACATACATACATACATACATACATACATACATACATACATACATACATACATACATACATACATACATACATACATACATACATACATACATACATACATACATACATACATACATACATACATACATACATACATACATACATACATACATACATACATACATACATACATACATACATACATACATACATACATACATACATACATACATACATACATACATACATACATACATACATACATACATACATACATACATACATACATACATACATACATACATACATACATACATACATACATACATACATACATACATACATACATACATACATACATACATACATACATACATACATACATACATACATACATACATACATACATACATACATACATACATACATACATACATACATACATACATACATACATACATACATACATACATACATACATACATACATACATACATACATACATACATACATACATACATACATACATACATACATACATACATACATACATACATACATACATACATACATACATACATACATACATACATACATACATACATACATACATACATACATACATACATACATACATACATACATACATACATACATACATACATACATACATACATACATACATACATACATACATACATACATACATACATACATACATACATACATACATACATACATACATACATACATACATACATACATACATACATACATACATACATACATACATACATACATACATACATACATACATACATACATACATACATACATACATACATACATACATACATACATACATACATACATACATACATACATACATACATACATACATACATACATACATACATACATACATACATACATACATACATACATACATACATACATACATACATACATACATACATACATACATACATACATATATACACATACATACATATGTACATACATACATACATACATATGTATATACACATATACATATACACACACACATGTATATGTATATATATATATATATGTATATATATATATATATATATATATATATATGTATATATATATATGTATGTATATATATATGTATATATATATATATATATATATATATATATATATGTGAATATATATATATATATATGAATATATATATATATATATATATATATATATATATATATATATATATATATATATATATATATATATATACATATATAAAGAGAGGCAGGAACACAAGAAGAATATATTCATATATGT